TTCTACTCACAAATAATTTCCAATTTATATATATATATATATAATTGTTTAAATTTAAAAATATATGTATTTTAACTGTTCGGTTGATATACCGTAAATACTTTATTTATTTAAACATCGAATTGGCTCTATAATTATGTTATCGTTTTACATTTCTCGTGTGTAAACCGTTAGTAAAGTCAACATCAAAAACTCCACTTTAAGGAAAAAATTTTATTTACTGAATTTTTTGTACAAAAATTATCGATTTTTTTCTTTTTTCGTAAAAAAATATATAGAACTTTACAAAAAAATGGTCAAAGATCAGGAAAAATCGGAATTCAAGATTTACACCAAAATTATCTCAAAGCTTTGCTATCATAACAGAGAGAGTTCGTTTGAATGGGAATGTAGTGATCACGACATGATGGAAATGAAGGAGTCATAAAGTTACTTAGGCAAGCATTTCAATTGAGAGGATGGAAGCAGCAATCAGGACCAAAACTCTAAGAGAAAATATCATTTTGTACATTTTGCAAGAATCATGCATATAAAACTATAACAAAATTATATTAATTATATTTCATGTACCTTTAATGTTAGCACTGATGTCTGATGAGGCAATCTGCATGCAGTCCTTTCCCGCATCTTGTGCACACTCGTGTTGATGTTCTTTTTTGATTCGGAGTGCTGCACACGACGCACCGGAATTGCTGCCTTCCAGGCAATTTTCGAAGTCCTGGTGGTCCTCTGGGATCTGGGGGTGTGTGGGATATAGGCACTGTCTCCTTCTTTGATTCCTTCTTCAGTCTTGCAATTACCTCTTGGATGAAGCGTTGATGGGTCATCCGGCTTCTTGTATTTTCTTTATAAATAATGTATGCATTCAACATCATCCTGGCCATGATATTGAATGCTACTTTTTTCCAACATTTCCTGGACCGCCTTTCATCCAAATACGTATATAGCATCATATCGTTTGTGTCCACTGAACCCATAAATTTGTTATATTCTAAAATTACCTGTGGCTTTACTTTCACCACCCCGCGTCTCTTAACAATTTGGATGTCGTGCTGGATTTCGTTGCTGGATAAAAGACGAACAGGTTGTGGATTATTTGCTCGTTCCCTGTATGCACAAGCCAATACGGGGCCAGACCTGAAATACGAGATTTGGCCTACAGTGAATCTCTCTTTGAAGCCAAGAGGTAATTGCTTTCTTAGTGCTCTCACGGTCCCAGTACAGTAAGTTCCACGGGAATAGAGGGCACGAACAAGGGGTACAGACGTAAAATAATTATCGACGAACACATGATAACCCTTGTTATTGTAGTTACCAACTGTCACTAACTGCCTAACAACAGTATAATCCAAACCAAACTTTGAGATACTGTGCTTCTCTACCTGGGACTTGGCCCCTTTGTAAGTGAAGAAGCCCAGGCAATAGTGTGAAACAGTTGCACAGCATCCAAAGTTTGATTCCCCACCTGTGATGTTTTTTCCCGGGTTGATACTGAATGTTAGGATTATGGCACTTGGTACCCACTAGTGACTCGTCGACGCATATTTGTTGGTGTGGGATGTAGTGATGTCTGAACACCCTGTTTGCGTGATCCTCTAAAGGTTGATAATGCGCAGAGGCATTATAACCTAATTCCCTTGGGCCAGGCAACTTACTACTATCTACGAGATGGAAGAATCGAAGCAAGCTACAATAGCGATCCCTGCTACAAATTTCCGCATACCATTTAGATTCATACGGAGGAAGATTGGACCAGTAATCCGATATTTTTGGTCTTCTGTCAATTCCCATTGCAAAAACAATAGCCAAAAACCCAAAAACCCCTTTATATCTTTAATAGTGA